CAGGGCAGGTGAAGTAGCCGGAACCCACAGAGCGGCCGGCTGGCACTCAGCTGGGTCCTGCGCCTCAGCCGGACCGCGGACGACTCCCCTGAAGGGGCCCGTGCCAGGAATCCGGAGACCCCAAAGGTCTTCTGTGCTTTTTCTTCTCCTCTCTCCCACCTAGTCCCCCAAGCACGCCTCCCTGCATTTATCTTCCGTGATAGGAATATGTTTGCATGAGCTGAAGATGACAACGGCTTGGAAGTGGACAGTTCTTATTCTCAGGCTCAGTAACGCACGTCCAGCTGTGGATGTCTGTGTGTCTGCCCCACTGTGTGCCTGGAATTCGAGGCAGCGTCTCCCCAAGCTGGAGGTAGCTCCGAGGTGTCCATGGGTGGAAGTGGGCCCCTCCAGCGCAGCTCAACGCCAGGTGATAACTCCCCATCGCGAGACTGCAAATAACTGGATCACCCATCACACACTGGGGGCATCAGGAACGCCTGGATGCACCAATGAGCAAAGGGCAGTTACCAAAAGAGCGAACCAGAATTTTGAGTGTTGATTTGTAGCACCGCAAAGTGACTAATAACTACTCAGACCCTGGCTGGTGGGGCTCAGTGGATTGAGCACTGGCCTGAGAGCCAGAGGGTCACCGGTTCGATTCCCAGTCAGGGCACATGCCTGAGTTACAGGCCAGGTCCCCAGTAGGAGGTGTGTGAGAGGCAACCACACATGGATGTTTCTCTCCCTTTCTTTCTCCCTCCCTTCCCCTCTCTAAAATAAATAAAGGCTTTTTAAAAATTCAGAAATAGTCTGATTAAAATGAGTGTGCAAAAGGCCATAACCGTGTGTTGACGGGTTCGGCATGTCACAAACATCTGCTTCATGTTTCTGGGGAAGGGAACACCTACCAGGAGTCCAAAGGGAGAGACGTAGGTTTTAAGAGTTCTCTGTTTTGATTCTCATGAGTACTTTCTGTCCCGTAAGGACAGTTTTTATCATTTGACTTCATTTCAGAAGTTTCATCTGTCTTGAGATAATGGTGCTATAATTTGACTGTGTTGTAGAATCCTGAGGTGGGCGGGACAGCGCAAGAGCCTTGTATTAGAAGTTCTCCAAGACGGCGTAATCAGCTTTTTCAGTTCATAAATAATTCCCCTGAGATTTAGTTCAATAGATGCCTAATGGGCTTTATTCAGCCTTAGTCAAATAGGTTCATCTACAGCCACATGAATGGTTCTTCTAAAGCAGCATGCATGCGCTGGAAGTGTAGCTTAAATTGGTGAAAATTCTGTCCCCAAACTAGAAACTGCTAGAACTAAATAATCAGGTGCCGTCAACGGGTCTCAACTCCGGGCGGTTTTGCTGCCTGGGGCACGTGGCCATATCTGAAGACTTTCTTGGTTTTCGCACCTGGGGGAGGGAGGTGTTATTGCGGCATCTGGCGAATAGAAGCTGGAGAGGCTACGAGACCTCCTACGATGCCCAGGGCAGCCCCCAGTCCCCACCAAGAACTATCCAACTCAAAGTGATTATAAGGCTGAAGTTGAGAACCTTGGAGTTGGGTATCAAGAGATGCGGCAGAGAACGAGTTTCATCCGAGGCCGTGAGGTGCACCGGGAACGGCTCCCTGCGCCCCTCTGCCGCCCGGGGCCCTGGGCGCTCACCCAGCGAGTCCTGGGCTCAGCGTGAATCCGAGGGGGATCACCTTGTTTTTAAAGAGGGAGTGGCATTTTCGGGGACATCATCCAAAATAAGAACTTTTCTCATTTTTAAAATTTTGTTTAAGCCCTGGCTGGTGGAGCTCAGTGGATTGAGCACCAGCCTGTGAACCAGAGGGTCACAGGTTCAATTCCCAGTCAGGGCACATGGCTGGGTTGCGAGCCAGGTCCCCAGTACGGGGCGTGTGAGAGGCAACCACACACTGATGGTTTCCCCCCCTCTCTTTCTCCTTCCCTTCCCCTCTCTCTAAAAATAAATAAATAAAAATCTTTAAGAAGGTATTGTTTAAAACAGTCATAGAGCATAGGAAATGAAATATTTCAGAGAGTTCGCACCGAGTGTGCTGGTAGCTATTGAGAATGCAGAGGAGTTCGTCTGGGAGCCAACATTCAGAGTCGCAGAGAAGTGTGAGAAGCTGGAGAGCGTATCAGGTGTGCCACCGACTAATAACGGTGTCCCTGACATGGTTTGTTTTCACAATAATAAAAGTTAAATTATTACTCATTTTTATCCTTTAACTTCCACTTTACCATAACTATGTAATTATGCATATAGGTGTATAGATAGGTGTGTTCCTGTATTTAACACATTAGTAAAATGTATGTATAAGTAGAAACTATAACCACAAAGTAAAAAAAAAAGTTCTGGCATTCCACCAGTGTTTCTCAACCTTTTTCTCATTTCTCCCCACACCCCCACGTCTCAGGAGGCTTTAGAAATGTTTTCCTAGTTGTGCTTCCCCCAGTGGAATTTTATGACACCATACACTGATGTATGTGTACCTGTGTTTTATACATAAAAAGAGGGATATTTTCACCCCATAACAAAATGCATGCCCCTGGGGTGGCTCCGCCCCGCCGTGGAGAAACGTTCGTCGTCACGAGGAAGACGGCGTCGGGATTATCTGGAGTCCTTCGTACTGTCTTGTAAGACTGGCCAGAGAGGAAAAGCTTTCCTCCCGCGTTTCCCGGGGATTCGGAAGCACTGCCGCCACCTGCCACACGCCTCCCTGATGAACGGCCCTGTTCCGTCACCTGAACGTCTCTTGTCCAGATGGTCACTCCGGTCAGGCCCATTGCCATCCGAAGAGAATGGTAGATGACGGTTAAATCGTGTGGATTTTAAGCTGTGTGTAAGCGAGGGCACCGATTGGTTTCCGTGACTTTTTAGGTTCGCCGCGAAATAGCATGCATGGGCAGAGACCCCCTCTGCGTCACCCCCTGCACAGCCAGCGCCCTCCAGCAGGGGGCGCGTTTCTTGCCATGACGAGCCCGCACGGACTCCTGGAAACCAGCCTGAGTCTGTCGTGTTTGCGTTAGAGGTCGCGCTCGGTGTTCGTGCATCCCGCGGGTGTGACAAATGTAGAATGGCACGGGGCCATCGCTGTAGCGTCCTTGGGAGTGTATCCACTGCCGCAAAGTCACCTGCGGCCCGCCTGCTCGGGAAGTGGCGGTGCGGATGTGGGGAGACAGGAACCTCACAGGTCGCAGGTGGGCATGCAAGACGGTGCAGCCCCCACCCCCGCAGGACACACAGTGTGGCGGTTTTCTCAGACAGCGACACTCGGAGTTACTGCACGACCCTGCAACTCCACTCCTAAGACTATACCCAACGGCAGTGAAGATATGTGTCCACCATAAACTTAGACCGGGGTTCCTTTGGGGGAGATGAAAATTGCGTTGTGATGATGCACCGCTCTGCGAATATGCTAGAAATCGTTCCGTCGTAAACCCGAAGGGGGTGAATTGTAGATGTGCATGATACCTCCATGTAAAGCTGTTTATTTAAAGATGAAAACAAACAACAAAAAAGACCACTCTCCCCTCACCACCGCACATCAGCAGTCCCTCCCCACGGCCCGCAACCCCCGGGGACCCGCTGCTCTGCTTTCGGGATCTACAGATTGACCCATCCCTGACATTTCGTGGGAATGCAGTGGTACGACCTCTGGCTTTTCATACTACTGTCGTGTGTTGTGTACGTCTTTCCGTAGCCAGACGTTTTCGAGCTTCACGCACGTGACAGCACGTACCAGGGCCTCATTCTTTCTCGCTGCCTCGTCGTGTTCCGCCGTGCGGCTGCACCACGCTCTTTGTTCATCTGTGTATCAGTCGGAGGGCACTGGGGTTGTTTCCCCTTCGGGGGACACGTCTGTGTGTGGGCAGATGTTTTCCATCGTCCTGGGCACATCCCGAGGAGTGCAATGGCCGGATCGTACGGTGACTCAGCCCGACGGCTTTCCAAACTGCACCGTTTACAGTCCCACCAGCAACTGGTACGTCCGTGAAAGCTCCCGCCAGCCCCCCTTCCAGTGAGTTTCCTGCGTCCTAGACCAGATCCTCCCCGTCCTGTCCCCACACAAGGCCACACAGCGCCTTCACTGGCGGAAGGAGGTTTAAACCCGTAATCGTGGGGCTTTTTCATCCCCCCCAACACACACACTCCCTGGGTTCAAGGCTCTCTTGAGTCATACGGATTCCACCAGCAGCCCTCCCCGGGAGCCCCCCCGCCTGCCAGAGGTCTGTGAGAGCTCTTTCTCTTTAATAATAGATCACATTCTACAGGCCTCCATCCCCGTTTGAGGAATTCGTCGTAAAAATATCCGTGAAGATTTGTTGCTAACACTAGACTTTTGTTGGCACGGACATCGCTCTTTTTTTTTTTTGTTTTTTAATTTCTGCCGTATGTCAGCACACTCCACACCCACACACCACACACGGCACGTTCCCGTGCAGCTGGGCGCCCCCACGCAGGGCCGGCGCAGCCCGTGTCTGTCTCCGTCAGGCACGCGGTCCCGTGAGTGGAGTCGGGGGCCGCCCTCAGGGGCCTCCGGTCCGCTCTGCTGCCCAGCTTCCGCCGCATCTAGACGGGCAGCAGAGTCCGTGTGTGGACGCCCTCCGCCCCGATCGGTTCCCTCTCACTTGTTCCAGGGCCGCCTCTGTGTGCGCTTCGGCCTTGCCGCCGCTGCGGTCAGTGCAGGGATTTGGTGAAAACGGGAGTCCTTACTCTCCTTAGTAACAGTGAGCAAGGTGTTTATTTCCAGCCCATCACCTTATAAAAAGTTCTGGCGTTTCCAGCCTGCTCTCCCATGCAGAAGAGTAGCTGTGACGTGCCCTCCGTGTCCAGGGCCTGGGCCAGCAGCTCCGCTTTCCGGGGGTCCGGTGAGCATGTCTGGGCCCGGCACGGAGTGGGCACGCGTTGCTCAATGAGCACTGCTGAATGGAGGTTTTGTTTTGTAAATGCAGTGTGTGTCCCACACACCACTAACAGGCTACGCATACCTGTGTTCTCTTTGGCAGGCTATCGGCTGCACTCTGAACTGCAGTTGCCAAAGTTTCAAGCCGGGGAAAATAAACCACCGTCAGTGTGAGCAGTGCAGACATGGCTGGGTGGCCCACGGTAACTATTTCCCCCCCTCTCTTGGCTGGTGGTGCTCCCCTCTCAATAACTGACAGTTTTTCAGGAACGGATGCCATGCCCGAGAATGACAGCGAACATTTGTAAGTGGCTGCTGCGTGCCAGGTAACCGGCTACCAGCTTTAATAGATGTGTTATCGCAGTGCATCTGAACAGCGCCTCACGGGGAGTGTTTTGTTAGCCCCGTTCTGGCGGCGCCCAGCGCCGTGACTCCGTGATGACGGAATGTCCCGTGGGGGCCGGGGCAGCAGCTCCAGCCCAGACACCGTGCAGAGTGCCCAGTTCCCTTTGAATTTCATGTAAACAATCAATGATGGTTTAGCCCGAGTATCACTCACATCGTTGGTGTTTGTGTCTGAGGCTTACATTCAGGGTTCCCCGGGCATGCTGGGTTTTTATTGGCGGACCCTGACCTTGACCCTGACCCTGACCCCACACTGGCCCCATGCAGCCACCAAGGGCTGGAAGTACCACTAGTATGAGTGCAGAGTTGAACTTCTCATTTTCTTAAGTGGCAATGAATGTAAATCTAAGCTGAAGTAGCCACATGCGGCCGATGTCTGCTGCATCGGGGGGCGTCGATGGTGGTGGTCCGTTTGCCAAACCGGACACCTTTGGGGTGCCAGACTGGGCTGAACCCGGGCCCGCTGGGCCCCTGAGTCTGAGGTCTTCACCTGCTGCTTCCTGGTTTCCCATCCTCTTGGGCAGGAACCTGCCACCGTTGTTTTTACCCCGTGTTTCTGTACTCCCCCTGCTTGTGGCATTTTACGCCTCAGGGGTGCCACAGGAAAGGGAGAGAAACAAGAGTCTTGGACCAGTCCACTTGGTAAGCTCCTGTGACAGCTGTCAGGATAACTAGTCATTGGAGCAGCCGTGTTCTGTCCGTCGGAACAGACCGCCGAGAGCCAGCGCCAGCCTCCTTCTGGTGCGGTGCTTCTCCTGCCAGGAGAGTCTTTTTTTAAAAAGACGTTGTTGCTTCCGCTCGGTTTTTCAGCCCTAAGCAAGCTGAGGATCCCCCCCGTGTACCCGACGAGCCAGGTGGAGATCGTCCAGTCCAGCGTGGTGTTCGACATCAGCAGCCTCATGCTCTACGGCACCCAGGCCATCCCCGTCCGCCTGAAAATCCTGCTGGACCGGCTCTTCAGCGTGCTGACGCAGGACGAGGTCCTGCGGATCCTGCACGCCCTGGACTGGACGCTGCAGGACTACGTCCGCGGCTACGTGCTGCAGGTAGGGGGCGCCCTCCCCCTCGAACGCCTTCCCGCACCCCGCAGCCATGCAGCCGGCGTAACTGCGGTCACCCTGCCCTCTGATGCTGTCTCTGACGGCCGAAGCCCGCCCTCGGGTTCTGGGAGGACTCCCGGGCTCTCTTCGAGGGGGTGGGGGAGCGGCACCTCACGCCCCCTACATGGGCTTCACTGAGCAGCTCTCCCCCGGTGCCCCGCTCGGCCCGCCCCGGGGGGCTGCCTGCGTCTCTCCGATTCTCTGCAGACTGCACCCAGGGACCCAGACGCCGGCTCTGCCCGAGTTCGCCGAGGGTTTGAGGGTGGGAAAGGGAACGTTCCCTGCAGAGCCACACGCGAGCAACGGCAGTTTCCGCTCCCTAACGCCGCCTGCCGCCCCTCCGCTGACTGTCCTTCCTAGAACCGGTCGCCTCGCGGCATTTCCGAGTGCGCGCCCTTGTGCCTCTCTCTCCCTCCTCTTCTCCCGCGGCCTCCGCGCGCTGCCCCCGCCCCTCCGCCCCTCTGTGCGGGACAGGCGGCAGCTCTCCCCTCTCCACGCTGCCGCAGGGGGGCGCTCTGGTCTTTCTGTCGCGAGCTAGGTCACCGAGGTGTTTTCGCGGGCAAAGGACTTATTTCCCGATGTGAGTGACATCATGCCTCTGACATACGAACCAGCCGGGGCATTTTTTTTCTCGCTGCTACACTAGACCGTGTCAGCCGACTCAGTTAAAAAACTTCAGTGAAACGGGGGTGTGAGTGCATTTCCAAGGTTAACGCACACACCGGCTTTTCTCCGATGGGCCGTAACACGGGAATGCACACTCATCACCGTGTACGGCCCTGGACCCATAAGGAATCGTATGAAGTAGGTAGATGATCTCCATTTTTCGGTTGAAAAAATCAGAGTGCTTCTCAGTCTTGCTGAGGTCCCCCAAGGACGCCCCCGTGGCAGACCGGAATTCGAACCCGCGTCTTTCTGAGCCTAAAGGCCGCGCTCTTCCTCTGGAAACAGGGTTGGTCACCTCCAGAGCAGGACCCCCAGCAGGCTACAAACCACCTTTCATGCAGAGCAGCGTTACAGCCTTACATTATGACATCGATCAATATTTAATGATCCTAATAATCTTGCTTTCTAGCGTTGGGATTAAAAATATGGAATCAATTACCTTGAACCTCCAGCGCATGAAAAATTTATGATGTTACATTCCTCCTCCTCGTCTTCAGAACTCTTACGTGCACCGTGAAAAATCTCAGTAGGCCATCAAATACATGTTCTGTGATAAAATATTTATCGTAGTTTTGGGAAAAGTTAGGCCTCGCTAGAGTTGGAGAGATCTCCAGCGCGCCCGTGTAATTACAGCTCCGCGCTGCGAGCCTGGGCCGCGGATCGATAGAGGCTCATTTGTTTCCCAGTGCTAGTTGCTCGGGAAGACCATTCACACACAGGGAATAAATCCTCCCGCAGTATGGAGGTCTGACGGCTCCACCTAGAGTCTGTAGGTGAAGAAGGGGCTCTTTTCCGAAGATGCGCATTTTAATTTCCGGGGGGGGGGAGGGGGAGATGATCGAGCTCACAAGGGATGACCCGTTGGTTGGAAAGAAGATGGAAACGCGCTCCCCAAAGTTCCCCGAGGCGCGAGTGACATGCATTTCACGTCTCCCTTCCGGACCGCCGCTTACGCTTCTGAGATCTGTTTTCTGCACCAAGTTTCTGGCCTCGGAGGGGGGTGTGGGGTGGGGGGTGCTGAGCTGAACGGGCCCCGTGCTCATCCAGAGGGGGTGTCTTCTTCGAACGTGCACAGAGGTGCTCCGGGGTGCCAGTGGGCATGGGGGGGGGGCCTGACCACGGGGCCCTCTCTTAGAGAAGAGGGTGCAGAGTGGGGAACTGATCATGCGTGTTTGGGTTTAGGACGCGTCGGGGAAGGTGCTGGATCACTGGAGCATCATGACCGGCGAGGAGGAGGTGGCCACCCTGCAGCAGTTCCTGCGTTTCGGGGAGACCAAGTCCATCGTGGAGCTCATGGCGGTGCAGGAGAAGGAGGAGCCGGCGGCGGCGCTCGTCCCGCCCCCCACCGCCAACGTGGACATCAGGGCGTTCCTCGAGAGCTGCGGCCACAGAGGCGCGGGGGACAAGGGCGGCCCCGGCGGCGTGCACCCCTTCGAGAGCCTCATCAACAACATGACGTTCATGCTGCCCTTCCAGTTCTTCAACCCGGTGCCACCCGCACTGCTGGGGTCGCTGCCCGAGCAGTACATGCTGGAGCCGCCGGGTCAGGACCTGGGTCAGGACCCCAGGCCCGAGGTCCACGGGGCCTTCCCGGAGGGCGGCTTCCTGAACTCCAGCTCTGCCCCACCCTTCCAGGTGGAGAAAGAGCCGAGTCTGAGCTGTCCCGAGGCCATCTCCGGCAAGGAGGACCATGCCCATGCGAGCAACTCCAGCTCCTACCACGCGGTCCCCAAGCTGGAACGGCCGCCGCTGTCCCCCGAGGCCAAAGGGAAGCCCGAGCGGAACAGCCTGGGCGCCAAGAAGGGCCGGGTGTTCTGCACGGCCTGCGAGAAGACCTTCTACGACAAGGGCACCCTCAAGATCCACTACAACGCCGTGCACCTGAAGATCAAGCACAAGTGCACCATCGAGGGCTGCAACATGGTGTTCAGCTCCCTGCGGAGCCGGAACCGCCACAGCGCCAACCCCAACCCCCGGCTGCACATGCCCATGAACCGGAACAACAGGGACAAGGACCTGAGGGGCAGCCTGAGCCTGGCCACCTCGGAGAGCTGCAAGCGCGCCGGGTTCGCGGCCGTGACGTCTCCGGGCTGCAGGCCGCTCCCCGGCTGCCCCGGTTCGGGTGAGGACGCCAGGGGCCCAGCGGGCGCCTTCCCGGGCGTCGGGCAGAACGGCGTGCTCTTTCCCAACCTGAAGACGGTCCAGCCGGTGCTCCCCTTCTACCGCAGTCCGGCCACTCCGGCGGAGCTGGCCAACACGCCCGGGCTGCTGCCCTCTCTCCCCCTGCTGTCTTCCTCCATCTCCGAACAGCTGGCTTCCAGCGAAGCGCCGTTCGACGCCCTGCCCAAGAAGAAATCCCGCAAGTCCAGCATGCCCATCAAAATAGAGAAGGAGGCCGTGGAGATCGCTGGCGAGAGGAGGCACGCGCTCAGCTCGGACGAGGACACGCCCCTGCAGGTGGTCAGCGAGGATGAGCCGGAGGCCTGCAGCCCTGGGTCGGACAGGGCGCTGGGGGAGCGGCACGCACCGTCGGGACACTCCGGGAAGCCCCTCCCCGAGGGGCAGAGGGGCTGCCGCCTCCCGTCGGTGATCGAGCCCAGGGGAGCCATCGGCGGGACCCCCGAGCGGGCCGCACAGGAGTCGGAGAGGGAGACGGAGCAGAAACCAGAGCTGCCCACGGTGCCCAGGGAGGCGGAGGACGGGGGCCGGGACCTCCACCTCCCCCCCGGGATGGAGCCCTGTGTCCCCTTCCCAGACTACGTCAGCCTGCAGCAGCGCCTGCTGGCCGGCGGGCTCCTCGGCGCCCTGTCCACCCGGGGGGCGGCCTTCCCTGGCTTCGAGGACGCTAAGGCACTGGAGCGCCCAGGGCCACAGGCGTCGGCGGTGAGGCAGAAGGAGGGGGGCCGCCACCAGTGCGACGTCTGCCAGAAGACCTTCAAGAACGCCTGCGGCGTGAAGATGCACCACAAGAACATGCACGGCAAGGAGACACACGCGTGCACGGTGGAGGGCTGCGCGGCCACCTTCCCCTCCCGCAGGAGCAGGGACAGGTAAGGCGCCCGGGCGTCCGGAGCGGGTGGCGCTTCCTCACCCGGAGGGCCGTGGGATTGTGCTTCTGAGCCCCACCCGCCCCCACTGCTTCGGGGGGCGGGGGCTGCATGGGGCCGAGAGCTTGCATTCCTAAGTGCCCCTGGCACTATGCTGTGGCTGGGCCCGGCACACGCTCTGAGAGCCCAGCGTCCCATACCCAGTGCCACCCTCCTGGGGGTTCCGTCCTGAAATCCACACCCATCCGGCTGCAAGACGTGACCTGAGATGGTGTGAGGCTCTTTGTCATCGTTTTTAAAACCACCGTCTGGGTGGATTTTTTTCTTTTTGTATCTGTTCGGGGCAGAAATATGCATGGACTTATCATGCGGGTTTCACACGGTATCACAGTCCATGTGTCACCCTGCTTTTCCTGGCGTCTGAGAGACTCTGAATTCGGAGACACCCCAGGCCCCGAGGGTGTGGCATAAGGGGCCGTGAGCTCGTGCTCACGTTGGAGGAAGAAGGGAGGTGTTTTTAACACAGTCCCTGCAGCTCTCGGTTTGGACGGGACATTCCAGAGCTGAGCATGGGGCCCAGCGCTTGGCTCTGTCGCTGCTGGGACCTTTCTGCACACGGTTCCAGGGAGTGTGTCTGTCTTTTTTTTTTTTCCCCCTTTCTTTTTGTAAATCACTCGTATGCACTGGAACCTGTATGTCATCCTGGTGTCTGGTTTTCTGCTGACACATTCCTGCCCCTTCCACCCAGAACGCTGACATAATCACAGGTCAGAGCTGCAGTTAAGGCGAAGTGGGTGATCTGGGAGCGTGATTCTGATGACGTCCGGAAAAAAGAATGCGCGAGGGGAGAGAAGTCGAATAGGAAATTTGAAATGGGTTTACACTTCCCCCCTCCCCCGCCCCCCCGCCTCTCCTCCTAGGTCCTCGGCGATTTAGAAGGGCAAGTTCAATCCCTGTTCATTTTGGGGAAGGGTGTTTTTCCTCGTGTGACCTGGGCATGCATTCCGAGCCGTTGGGAGTCATTCTCTTGTCCGCTGGGAGACGGCGGCCCTGGGTAGGGGCTGTGTTTGTTGGTCAGGGCGGCAGGGGGTCGCGCAGCAAGGCCCGTGTGGGTTGACAAGTTGCCTCCAAATGATACCGTGCGGGTCGACGGCGTGTGTCATTATGGGCGTGCATCGCTGCCCTGCAGGGTAATCACCGGGTGGGAGGCTGGTGAGTGGCTGCCGGTGCTGCCCGTGCAGAACCCCTGTCTGGAGTCCCGGGAAACGTGGCGAACGGGGACTGAGCTCAGGGTGTGCGCTCGCTCTCTCCACCCCCCCCTTCTCTCACACCCACCCTCACTGCTGCTCCCAGCCAGTCCGATGGCCGTACCCCTAGACCTTCTGGGGCGGTGCGCGTGCAGATGCCCCAGCTCCCGATGCGAGCCACGGAGGACATGTTACGTTCTCTACTAGCCTCCCTAGACGAAGTAGAAAGAGACAGGCGAAGTAAGTGTTAATAACGCTCTCTTTCAGTCTGTCCAAAACACTAACCTTTCAATACGTGACACGGCCACAAGCCACACATCTCGGGCGCTCCGTAGCCGCGTGGGAGTGGCTGCCGATCGGACAGTGCGGCTCTAGAAGGTAGTATCTCCTGATTTCACTGACGTGAAGTCCTCTGTTCAGTTCCTTACCGTTGGTGGGCAGGTATGTCCCGGGACCCAACCCCCCTGCCCCCCCGCCCCGCTCCACTAGTTCCAGGGTCCCAGTGCAGTTGGCCTTGCTGGAATCTTCTAGCCGTTCTCGTTAGTCGAGGCCCGGGAAGTTGCGTGTCCGTCAGATGGAGGCAGCAGAAGAGGACGCCCTCCCGGTGTCCAGACCACCGACTTCCCCAGGAATGTCCTCATTCCTGGCGAGAACAGCAGCGGGCCAGTGGCCGAGGAACATGCAGCATGGTGCCCCGAGGCCCCTCCCGGCGTGTCACACAGGCCACACATGTCGTCTGGTGTCGGCCTCGCGTCTCTGCTCCGAATGACGACTCTCTATTTGCGGCCACAGCCCGACCCGCGGCTAACCATCTTTTCCCTCTTGCAGGCACAGCTCAAACCTAAGCCTCCACCAGAAAGTCCTGGCCCCAGACCCGGAGAGCAGCGAGGAGCACTTCCGGGCCGCGTACCTCCTCAAAGACGCGGCCAAGGACGCCTACCAGGACGTGGCGTTCGCGCCACAGGCGGCCCAGACATCCGTCATCTTCAAGGGCAGCAGCCGGATGGGCAGCCTGGTGTACCCGATGGCCCCCGGGCACGGCGCCGGCTTGGAGAGCTACAGCTCGGGGCCGCCCAGCGAGGGCACCGTCCTGGACTTGAGCACGACCTCGAGCATGAGGTCGGAGAGCAGCAGCCACTCCTCGTGGGACTCGGACGGGGCCAGCGAGGAGGGCGCGGTGCTCATGGAGGACAGCGACGGGACCTGCGATGGCCCCAGCCTCGTCCCCGGCGGGGACGACGAGTACCCCATCTGTGTCCTGATGGACCGGGCCGACCAGGGCCTGGCCGGCCTGCCCCCCGGGCTGCCCATCACCTGCCACCTCTGCCAAAAGACGTACAGCAACCGAGGGACCTTCAGGGCACACTACAAAACCGTGCACCTCCGCCAGCTGCACAAGTGCAAGGTCCCGGGCTGCAACACCATGTTCTCGTCCGTGCGCAGCCGGAACCGGCACAGCCAGAACCCCAACCTGCACAGGAGCCTGGCGTCCTCCCCCGGTGCCCTGCAGTGACGCGGGCGGGGGCGCCCCTGTCGGGGTTCAGGGCAGGGGCGGACAGCCCACGGGTCACGTTGCTAGCTTTGTTTGACGCCCTGTGGGCCGAGCCGGGCCACAGGCGTTCGAGGGGACGCTCTGGTCTCCCCCCCCAGGGCGGGCACGAGACAAGCCCTGTGGGACGCTGACCCGGGGGTGGGGCAGCCTCTCCAACTGTGTTTCTTAACCCAAAGGTGTTTTTCAGTGACAGGACGAGAACTTGCAGAAACACAGCGCATCCTCCGGGCCTGGGGGCCAGGCCTGCTGGTCCATCGAGGGCCCCAGGCCTGGGGGCCGTCTCACTTGGCATGAGGCTTGCAGGAGGAAGGGTCCGCTGAGTGTCCTGGGTGGGTGGGGTGGGGGGGGCAGGTGGCCGCCCAGGGGGAGGAGCCAGCCCCGGAAGAACCCATCGTGTTGTTCCTGCTTGAAGGGCTCTGAAACGCAGACTCAGTCTGGGGGCGTGGCTGTGGGAGACCGTCCCCCATCTGGGGTGCAAAGTTGCTTCCCCCACCGGCCTGGAGGTCTCATGTGGTGCGCCGGGGGGTGGGGGGGGGCCTCAGAGGAAGCAGGAGGCAGGCTCCCGGCCCCACAGACACGCGAGCGTTGCTGAGCGTGTGCGCGCTCGCCCTGGGCCGCGCAGGCCGGGAGCCGGCGGGGGAAGACCGTGCACTTAACAAGAGTGGTTTTCGATTTAATTTAAAATAACGTTGATGCTATTTAATTTGTGTTCATAGTATGTGAGTGTTTGGGCTGAGGGCAGAGAGGTCACCGGGAGACTGACCTTCTGGGCCTTGCTCTCAAGCAGCACGAGTGACAGCCTAACGTGTGAAACTGCTGCCCGTGTGGCCTCTGGGGGAGTTCAGAGTCCATGTCCCCCGTGGGCCCTGGGCCGTGGGGGGGACCATCCATGTGAACCTGGGGGTGCACGCCGGGTGTACCCGGGAGAAAGGAAACGAGGGTGTTCCTGCCACGTTCTGTGTCTCGGTGTGTAACTTATTCTGAAATACGTTCCACGTCCCCGCACACGTCTGCGGTGGTGGATGGGGAGCCCGCCCCGTCCCGTGGGGTGCGGCCGCCCCCTGAAACGTGGCGCTCACAGAGCTCCGTGCTAGGCAGGGAGAAATCGACTGCATATTAAGATGTCAAGTGAGCCATCTTTGAAAGTCACGGTTGGTTTCAGTAATGAAAAACATCCTTAGAATCAGGGGGCTGTGAGAGAGAGACTCCTGTGGCCGAAAGGTGAGGGAAGCCGAGAACCTGGTACTGATTATTCCACCTTAAAAAAAAAAAAAAAAAGAAATGTGACAACCAAAAACTTGTCTCTGCTCCCAGTGGGACGTACCGTTCATCTGTGGTGGTGGTACCCAGCTGTCCGGTGTCCCAGTTGCCCCCCAAAGCGAAAAAATGTGTATGAGTTTTCTATGATTTAATAAAAGTGTATGGCATACGACTGGTTTGCGAAGGCCCACGTTTTGTAGTAGTAACACCGGTTTTTGTCACGTGGGCTGCAGGTTGTCCGAGGGCTGTGGTCACGTACACACACACACACACACACACACACACACACACACAATGGATCGTGCAGAGCTGAAACCCCAGGGGAGCACGGGAGGCCGACACTGGGATCGGTCGCTGCCGTCACAGCAAGACGGGAACCGCGGCGCTCCGCCCGCGAGGCCCCCAGAAATGATGCGGCGGCTTCCCCGGCAGAAGGCTTGAGGGTCGATGTGTTGTCGAAATTAAGTGACTCTCCAGAAAGACTGCTTTCACGGGGGCTCCCGATACCCCGCGCTCACAGGGCAATGCAGGACCGAGGCCTCTTTTCGCTCTGAAACATGCAGGTCTTAAAAGGAAGCTTTGATAACACCTTTTACCTCTTTTTACTTCTCCCCCCACTTTTTTTGCACCCTCCCAATCTATCGATAGAGGCCTGACCCCACCTGCCCACCCCGGCCCCCTCTGCGTGACGACTTCTGTGGAGCCTCCCATGGCCTGCAAGGCCCTCGCCATCATCCCGCCCCCCCCACTCCTTCTCCACCCCCCCCACCCCCCCCTCAACCCCCCTTTACAGCCTGGGGGCAGCTGTCCCTCTAATGAGAGGGTGCCTCCACCCCTCTGTGCAAGACCCCCCCAGGAGTGACCTCACTTCCTGCTCCCAGAGAACTGCAGGGGGATCCCCTTCAGCCTCTGCCCCGTGGCCCGCGCCCACCCCCACCCCATCTGTCTTCACACCCGTCCCCATGTGGTCACGTCTGCCTGGACCTGCCGCGTGCCAGGTGGGCAGTCGCCGTGAGAAGGCGAGCAGGGTCCCCCTGCACACCCCCCACCCATTTTTCTATCCCTCTGAGACCCATCACAGTCTCCTCCTTCGTCTCGGCGCCGCCCAATCAGGGGCCCGAGTTTCCCCAGCTCAGCCTTTCTTGTCCTGTCCCCTGGCGCCCGTGGGTGGCCGTGTGAGTCTGGGTGTCCCAAGGGACAGAAGGAGCCCATAGCCGATGGAGGGAAAAGGGGGAGGGGGCTGAGGGAGCTGGCAGAGGCCATGTGGGTCTGACCCCACGGGAGGGCAGGAAGGGGGGACGGGCAGGTGACATCATCCCGGGCCGCTGGGGAGTCCTGGGGCCCAGGTCGGCCCCCAGAGCAGCCCTGCTCTCCGGGAGGGGCTCCCTGGGAAGCGGCTCTCAGCCCCCCGCCCACGGCAGCGACAGCCCACGGGGGGGGGGGGTGTGGCCCGTGAGCACAGACCGGTCCGGAGCCGAGTCCGCGGCTAAGCCTTACCTTTCTCAAGCCCCCGTGTCCGCTTCAGGGCGGGCTTACACCGATGTCTTCGCTGGACTCTCAAGTATTCCTCTTCTCTTCGAAGGCTGGTGGTCCGCCTCCCCCCGCCGCGGCCTGGAGGGCCGTCGCCTCCCTTCTCCCCTCGGCCGCGCATCACCTAACGCCTCCTTTCCGCTGCTTCCGCTTCTCGGGCCTGTTGTCCTTGTGAACCTTTCTCGCCCTAATGATGAAAACAATTTAAAAAGGGCTTTCTGGGCCCCCCATCCCTCCCAAGCGACCCTTCTTCCTTCCTCCTCGTACAGCTGAGGTGCTTGGAACGGCAGGTTTGGCCCCACGTCCCCAGATCCCTGCACTCCCGTTGCTTCCCTCGCCGCGGTGAGGGCCCCACTGTCCCCACGGTTCCTGTGACTCCTGGACAGCCATATCCAAAGGACACGGGGCTCCTTGGTGCCCTGGTCCCTCACCTCTCCCTAGGCTGGCTCATCCGCCCCCGAGACCGTGAGGGCTGTCCCTATTGTGGACTTGTCCTCCCAGCTCCCTCCCGGCAGGGGCACTCAGCCACCGAGCCCAACGCATGACCCCCAGCCCCAAATGCCGCTCCCGACCCTCGCCCTCTTTTTCACGTCCTCTACGCCCCTTCTGTCCTCCTCTGAGGGTGTTTCAGCAGCAGCCACCGCCTCTCGCTGCTGCCCCACGTCCACCCTGCGGTGACAGCCTGAAGGGCAGGGGCCGGGACCCAGGGCCGGGCGGGACAGCCCCGGGGTCACGGCGCTCCGCCGAGTCCGCGTCTCCATCCGCACGGGGGCAGGAGTCCCTCTCAGCAAGAAGACGCCGACTCACCGAAGACTCAGCGGATGGCTAGCGTGTTCTCAGCAATAAAGTATGTTTTAATTAAGGTGTGTACGTCGTTTTTCAGTCGTGATTACTGCACACTTGGTAGATTACAGGATAGCGTACACGCCATCGTTACAGGCACTGGGAAACGGAAAAGTTCGTGCAACCGGCTGAACTGTGGTGTTGACTCTGGCCGTTGGGGACCACACCCGCAGCGTCTCCCAGGTGCGCCAGCAGGTGGCCCCTGCCTGCAGGGGCTTCCCGCTGCCCTTGGGGTAGAGCGCCCCCAGCCAGGTGCCCGCTGCCGGGCGGACCCCCTGCGAGCGCCCCACAGTCCCAGGGCTGGCCCGCCCCCGCGGCCCCGCGGGCTGCTTTCGCTGTGGGGTCTGCCTCTCCAGCCTCTGGCGCAGGAACCCTTGGCCCTCCTTGGAGATGCGACTCAGGTGCCTCTTCCAGACACTCCAGGTGAGCGGAGGGAGCCCGCTCTTGGTGCGCATGTGCTGGCGAGGTTTGCACACAGCGTCGTCTGGCCCCACCCCCGCGCCTCCCTGGGCCGTTCCCACTGTCCGCACTCACCCCCCATCTGGGGGCTTTCCTGGTGGCCTCGGCTGTCAGGCCACCGACCCGCATTGAAAACGCACCTACTGTGTACCGAGCACTGCTAAAGAGACCGTGGTGAGTTCGGTACCCACGGTCCCTGCTCTGATGGAACCGAGAGACCCTCCAGAGAGACCGACAGGAAACCGAAACGTAAAAATAAATTATGCCGCCTTGGCTGGCGTAGCTCAGTGGATGGAGCGCGGGCTGTGAACCAAAGTGTCGCAGGTTCGATTCCCAGCCAGGGTACATGCCTGGGTTGCAGGCCACGGCCCCCAGCAACCACACATTGATGTTTCTCTCTCTCTCTCTTTTTCCTTCCTTTCCCTCTCTAAAAATAAATAAATAAAATCTTTAATAAATAAATAAATTCTGCCTGCTGAAATTTCCAGAAGAGGGGTCTCTAACTTCCTCTTGCTAGTGTTTCTTCTGGCTAGGCCCATTGGCCTGAGGGCGTGGGGTCATGACCTCTCCCCCTCAGGGTGCCCCAGGTGCTCAGCCTCCCCTCCCAGGCGTGTGGCTACAAAACAGAACCGAACTGTCCATGGCTAATGCACCCTAAACCTTCAGCCGGGAGGGGTCACGCTCCCGTTTACATCCGGATTAGCCTGAGCCTCCGCCCTGCACTTTAAGAACACTGATCTCAGCAGGGACTTTCAGCCTTTGCACAGACGAAAAGCAGGACCCTCCCAGACCCTGAGAGCCGGCTTTCTAAGCAGCGGACCTGCAGCTGGCAAATGAAGACGAGCTTCTGGGCCCTCACACACGGGGACCTGACAATGTATCCACTGCTCCCATGACACCCTCAGAGACCATTAACCTCCCACCCCAGTGCCTGGGTTTTGCCTGATTATTTAAAATCTACCTCTAGGAAAATTTATAAGGGTTTTTTTTTTCCTTTATTGAAATAAAATTCACATAACAAAGTTTTACCACTTTAACCATTTTAAAGAGTATAAGCCAGTGAATAATTCCGTATATTCGCAAGGCTGTGAGACCTCTATCTAGTTCCAGAACATCTTCATCTCCCCCGCCCCCACCCCCATGAAACCCCGTCCCCGTGAGGCAGCCACTGCCCACTCTGCCGTCCCAGCCACGCGTCCACTTCCTGCCCCTGGGGGTTTGCTTGCCGTG